CCGTCTGTTTCTGTTTTGGGGGAGGGAAGAAGACGTTATATTTATAACAAAAGACACTATATTTTTCCGCTTTTTTTAATTTAAATATAACATCTTTTTAAAAGACACTATACTTAACTAGCCAAATGGTCATTAAAGTATAACGTCTTTTTAAAAAGACGTTATATATATTTTGGTAACTACTTTTTTTTCCCACACGTTTTGATCATTTGAGTCAAAAGGAACAATATTTTGGTTCCGGACAAAACAATACATTAGAGGACACTTTTGGACCTTTCCCCAATAAACTATAAAAACAAAAGAATTAAAAAAACCGGAGGTGTATTTTTGAAATTTCATGGTGGTGGGAGGAAGATGGACTACAGTCTAGCAGCACTGAAACTACTGTGCTCACAGCTAAAGGATGCCAAAGAAACCACCACCCAAAAATCCAACACTGCTTTCACTCTTGAAGGCATTCTCTTTCAACGCGCATGGCTCCAGGTCTCATAACTCTCCTGAGTCTACTCCATCAACCCTTACCCTCTTTCCCCCCTTTTCCCCTTTAATAATCCTGCATTTGCTTAGTTTTTCCAGTTTTCCTTGCAGGGTATTCTGGTTTCAACTCGTAACGCTGATCCCTCCGGCCGATTTCTCCTCGACGATGGCACTGGGGTCATTGAACTCCTACTCTCCGGCGACTTTCTCAATCTTTCTTTGGAAGTAGGTCAGTCATTTTGTTTAACGGAAATTAGTGTCATTATATTTGGAACGGATTAGAAATGACATATTGCCACATAAAGTGGAATTGAGGGAGTGGTTATTTTTTGTTGTATTACAACAACAACAACAACAACAATCTAGTAATAATCCCACTAGTGGGGTTCGGGAAGGGTAGAGTCTACGTAGACCTTACCTCTTTATTATTTGTAAGTTTGGTCAAATTATCTGAGGAAAGTTGAATGGGTGGAGGACAAGATTAGATTTTTATTCTTTTTTTTGGGTTAATGGACTTAGAAGCAGAGCCAAAATTTGAAACTTATACGTTCAGGATTCTAGTCCTTTTAATTTACTGGGTTCTAAATTAATAATTTATACATATTCAATAGATTTCTTAAAACAAATATAAGGTTTGAGCTAAAGCTATTGGGTTCTAAATTAATAGTTTATACATATTCAATAGATTTCTTAAAACAAATATAAGGTTTGGGCTAAAGCTATTGGGTTCTAAATTAATAATTTATACATATTCAATAGATTTCTTAAGACAAATATAAGGTTTGGGCTAAAGCTACTAGGTTCGGCCGAACCCGCGGCCAAAGAGCTAGCTCCACCCCTGTTAATGGTGGCGTTCTGGCCAATTTACACACACCTTAACCATAACACCAATAAATGTTACCTCCCACCAGCAGAGGTACCTGGTAACTCTGGCCACCAATGCTTAGGCAAATGGGATGAAATCGCCTAGCTTTTGATGACATGATTAAATTCTTGCTATGAAAAACTAAAGTTAATGTATAAGGGGCTAATCAGTTCACTTATGAATTAAACTTAAAATGTAGGTCCATGTAATATTTGGAACCATGGCGAATTCTATGATACATGGTTCGTTAAGGGAGTATGTGTAATTATCCCTTGTTTTTACTCTTTCTATTGTTTTTACAGTTCTTTTCTGCCATTTAAATCTGTACTTCTGCTTACTTCTTGAACAGGAATGTATATTATGGTTGTTGGAGGGTATTTTGTCCGTAAAGGCGGCCTCCCCTTTATTAAGGTAAGAAAGATTAAGCTTTCCCGCCAAGTGACTGACCACTTCATTCATGTTAATTTAGGATTTTTCTTGTGTTCACTTGCTTTAGCATGGTTGAACATTTTGTTTGAGCTTATTTAGGGTATTGGGTCTTTGACTGCATCAAATTGATCAAACTCGTAAAACTACTAATTGTATTGTTTCTTTTTAATGGTTTGATTGCCCATCTACGAATAAAATCTTTTCCCTCTCTTCTAAATCTGTCTCCATTCTACTATGAAAGGAGTTCCGCAATGGGTGTAATGCTCTTGAGTCCTGAGCCCTTAATCCTGACGTCTAATGTTGACATTTTATTAGTTTACTACAAAATTGAGGTTTAATCTTACTCTCAACCTCAGCAGTTAAGGCTGCTCCCATAGCATGTGTAGGAATCTATAAAGGCAATGGTTGTGAAGTACAAGTACATTTAGTCTCTAAGGATTACGAGAAGGCAAATGTCGGGGTTGTTGTCGAGGGAGGGGGAGTTCTTTTAGCATTTGAATTAAATATTGGGTGATCATGAGAAAGTCTTTAGTAGTTACTGATAAGAAGACACTTGAAGATGACTTAGCTTTTGTCACCGTTTTGTACTTCTTGATCGGTTGAAGCAAGTCTTACATAGCGGAATGTTGATTCGCCGATCTCAGCCGCATTGTGGCGTGATTCGTCAAATCACAATCCTTACAAACTATGCTTTTGACATTGTTCAATCAAGTCTTGACCTTCCATTAACTGCAAAGAGTATCTTAGTCTTCAGAGCGTATTTCATTTTTTTTTGCCTGAATTCAAGTTTTGCAGGAGGAAGCTGAAACAGCGTCAAATGTAGTGCATTTGGTAAAATTTCCATCTTCCTAGTCCTTTTCTCTAAGCTGTTTAAGCTATTCAGGATTAAAACAAAAGGACTTGTGTCGTGCTTCTTCCTTGCACAATTCAGCAGAGTATGAAATAAGTTCCATTTTGGCGTATTCATCATTGAAATATTTAATATTGTTGTACTGGAGGACCTGTGGAGTTATTCTCCTGATAGGACAGAAGGACTTCAATAGGTAGCCTCTGGTACTTCCATTTCATGAGTCCTAAAACTTTGTGGCTCCAATCCCATCAACATGCAATATTTCATACATAGACCAAGCCAAAATCCTCCAAGTTTAAATGCTGTAACCTGAATACTAAAGTCTATTTGAGGTATTAAAGCACAGATTATTTCTTAGCTAGTAGCATTCCTAGCTGTTTATTATATTAATCCAGAGTTATACAAAATACTAGCAGATAACCTAAAGGTGGTCCACAAAATGCATGTTTCAATAATTCTCAAAAAATTCTATCTTAGGGTTTGTGTTTTAAGCTAGGTTTGTTTGATTTATTATTCCGTGACAGATAGCAAAGTAATGGTGACAAGTGAGAGTGCATATCCCACGCTGTGCAATAAATCATGCCTTCACTTCTCTTCATTCAATCCAGATTAAAAATATGATGCAGTAAAAATAAACTGCTTGCGAATTTCCAAAAAGAAAAGAATAAAATGCTTTTGTTTCTAATAAATGTTAACCTCCTTCGAAGATGTAAGATAGCTTACCTGAGCCACCAGGGGAGAAATATCTAGCATGTTTTGGAGCCAAGAGTGCCATATAAAGGAACAAGGTCAGTCTTAGTATTATCACCTATGTCCTCTGAGGTATGCTGCTTCTGCTTAAAGCCTTAAACTATTCCTCTTCAGCCCATTCAGTGAAAAGCGTTCCTTCCTGGTGGTTGTCTGAAGTTGTCGAGTTCAAAAGGGCAAACTCCCCTTAGTTAAGGCAAAAAGGTGAACCTTTCCGTTAAAAGTCCCTTTTCACCGTTTCATCTCAATTAAGAAACTTTCTCGTATTCACTTGTTTTAGTGTGCTTTAACATTTTGGTTTGAGTTTCGAGGGTATTGTGTCACTGGCTGCATCAAATGTATCAAACTCACTGAAGTTTTTTTTGTGTTTTTGCTTTTCGGGCCTCCAATTGCCAAATTAACATAAAATCTTATACTTGTCCTTTTAAAATTACTATTTCTCTTTTCCTTGTTTAGTGGTTGATTTTGTCTCAAGTTTATTGTGGAAGAAAGTTCTGAATTTGGTATAATGCTGTAGATATCTCTAATGGCATATCATTTGCCAAGTTTAGGAGAACAAGTTTCAAACCCACCTATTGCAGCAGATAGTTCTCTTGCTGTATAGCATTGGTATGTACATAATCACATATAAAAGCAAACATTGGGTAAACTGGTAAAAAGCCAATGAAGTAATTACTATTGTGATTTTGAAAGAGAGGAGGTATTCTGAGCTCATTGATTGTAGGTCTTCTGGCAGTATTGATCAATTTTAGGAGCATTAATTTTCAGTAGACATGGGCTGAACTTGCACTTAGGTGAAACAGTAGTCATCTTTGTTAGTTTTGATAGAAAAGGAGTCAAGCCGTTTTCGGACCATTTTAACTCAACCTGTTTTGACTTGGCAATATTTAACCCTAGTGTGTAAAATGCTTGATGAAGCATTGGTGCTGCAATCTGATGGGAGGCCATTTTTTCTATAGACATTCCTTCACTAAGGTAGAATATTAGGAGTGTACAAACTAGATCACCAAATAAACCTATTAGACGACAAGTAAGACTGCTCACTCAGCATATTAGAAGTCTGGCAAAAAGAACTGCTCGGTGCACAAAGCATCCCGCATTCACGTAGGGTCCGAGGAAGGGCCGGACCCTAGGGGGTGTGATGTAGACAGCCTACCCTTACGCAAGCATTAGTGACTACTTCCGCGGTTCAAACCTGTGACCTATGGGTCACCCGGAGACAACATTACCGTTGCTCCAAGGCTCCCCTTCCATATTAGAAGTGTGTACAGCAATGAAAATATACTTTAGCTGGGTAGTGAGGTGTTATAGTGGAAGGTTGTACACCTTCTGGCTCCTTGACCTTATCGGAATGTAGTATTTCCTCACCTTTCCGCACCAAGAAAGAGCAGACAAATGATAGACCCACCAAAGAAAAATTATCAGCTGAGTTTGGTGCTTTCTTGCTGATTTTACACCTAGTGAAAGATCTGAAAACAGACTGTTTTTAGAGGATCATCACTTGTAATCAATCTGAAAAACAAGTCTATTTGGTTAAATCGATGTGTATTGCTAAATCTATTGCTGTATTAAGGTTAACATGTCTCTTGATTCAGCTGAACCTTTTTATAAGATATTTCTAAGCATTTTCTTCAATTCAGGTCCACAAAATTGTTGATCTTTCTCCATTTCCTGATCGAGAAGCAATGTGGTACCTAGAAGTGGTTGAGGCATACAAACTCTTCTACCAACTACCTACATTTGAAGACTAATTGAAGAGTGAAAAGGCAGCAGGAAAAAGAAGAACTGAGGTAGCTGTAAGGTGATATATAAGCTTGTATGACGCTACCAAATGGAGTTCTAGTCTGTCAAAATTTTGTTATATGTACCTCATCTGGATTTTTTAAAATTAAATTAACTTAATATGTTAGTAATTTTGTGGCAACAGTAATGCTATTGTCTTGTGTCCAATTTTTATGTTGATATTTTCTGATTTTAGTTTAACAGAAAGTATCAATTTGCACAAATTGTGGTACTATAGTAAATATCGCTTTCATTAAACTGTGACAGGAAAATGATAATACTCAAAAACCAGAGCCCTCACATTAATTTTCAGAATGAATTTGGCTATTTGGCGAAGCAACATGGTATCTGGAAAGAAGAAAGAGATGGCGAGGGAGGGAAGAATAATATTGAATAGGATGTATTACTAATGTTAGGATTGGTAATGCTGGGATTATTTTTTATCGATTTTTTTATTTGTCGTGCTATAAGATTATGAAATTTTGCATTTGGTGTTGTTTCGCGTTCATGAAGTAGGTGAAAATTAGGGAGATCAAAATTTCCAATAGGGTTAGGAAAACACTACATTCAACTTGGTTAAATCTTAATGGATAGATTTACTCCGTACACAAAGTGATTCGAACGTCATGGTTATTAAAAAAAGAAAAGGAAAACGAGGGAAATACACCATTACTAATACTAATAAAAATCTATCTAGTGATATGGGCGACAAACGATTCCATTTCCTTGTGAGCTATCCCACCATCCATCACTGACAATTTCACAGCTTCCTTCAACTCTGTAGCTCTCTTTTTCATCTCTTCTCCCTCCGGCGATGCCATTAAAGCTTTAACAACTTTCTCAATAGTCTCCGCCGGCACCACTTCATTTCTCTTCTCCCAATCTCTTACCGAAATCCCAATTTTCAACCCTTTAGTTATGAACAAAGCATTCCTCGGCTGATCAGAATGCATTGGCCATGCCGCAATTGGCACTCCCATTGAAATACTTTCCATGCACGAATTCCACCCGCAGTGGCTCATAAATCCACCTGTCGCCACGTGTCCCAAAATCTCCAATTGTGGTGCCCAATCTCTTATAACAATTCCTCTTTCTGCTACCCTTTCTTCATACCCTTCAGGCAATTGAAATTTCCGCACATCTCCAGAAAATATGTCTCCTTTATCAGCATCCCGTAGCACCCAAATGAATCTCTGCTCACTGTGTTCCAATCCTTTCGCCAGCTCCTTGATTTCTTCTTCGGACAACGAAGTTGTAGATCCGAATGAAACAAAAATCACTGAGTTCTCAGGTTGTTTATCGAGCCACTCTAAGGAATAATGGCGGCTTTTTTCAGTATCAGGTGTTGGAATTGGAATTTCCACAGGATTGAATGGACCAAGAGCCCAATGTTTAAAATCCTTAACGTACGTTTTCTCAATAAGTTCTAAATACAATTGTTCTATGACTCGAGACGTGCTGAAAATATTCCCAACACCAAAAACCCTAGCTTGTACTTGCTTTTTTGCAAATTCTTCCAATTCAGGAGAGTTGCAACCTTCTAGAGAAGGAATTTGTTTGAGTACAACTTCAGCTTCAGAAGGTACAGGTGGTCTAGCTGCATCCCAAATGTAAGAAAATATAAGAAAAGCAGAGACGGTGTGAAAACAGTAGCATTCGGTATTAGGAATTTTAGGAACATCCTGAACAATCCAAGACGTGAGAAAATCGTGCAAAACCACTACTTTTCTAGCCTTAGAAGACAGGTTATTTACGAGCTCTGTCACTGGCTCGCGTAGTTGGAGCGAGGAGTTAAACGCAGGGACAAGTTGAGAAGGGAATTTGATGGAAGCATCAGGATTAGGAGGAGGGACATCAAATGAAACTGAGAATTCAGAGAAATTGAGGTTAGGGGTGTTAAGTGGGTCCCATCCGCGGGCGCGAGACTGAGCCTGGCGGACGTGCGCGGCGGTACTGACGTAGTAAACGGGGATGTTATGGGCGGAGGAGAGGCGGCGGGCGAGCTCGAGGAATTGGTGGAGATGGCCTTGTGCAGGAAGAGGAACCATAACTACAATTACATCATGTTGAGTTGCATGGTTTATGGTTGCCATTGTTTGGTTCAGGACTAATAATCCAAGACTTGTCAACTTGTAACGTATCGATGGTTGATAGTGATTGTGCAAAAATAACTTGGTGGAGAATCCTAAGGTTTTGTAGCTTAGGGAGGAGAAACAGGGAAAAGTTCTGTCGCTGGGTCTATATTTGCAAGTTTAGTACTTCACTTGATGAGTCATACTGTGCAAATTTATACTAGTCCGATGATCCCATCAATAAATTTTAGATATCAATTTGTATCTTTTTTTGTGGTCCACAATATTTATTTTTTTAAGATACATCAAGAAGATATTATTATTTTTTTCAAAATTATACTTAGAGTAAAAAGTCTAGGAGTATTTATTGTATTTTCGATGAACAAATCAAAGTTAATATGATAATTTTATTATTATATTAATACTAAAAAGTAGATTTTTTAATATGTGCCAAATTAGCCAAAAATTTAAGTAAAATGCGGAGGAATTATTAAAGAAAGAGAAAAAAAGTAGGTGGTAGAGGGAACTTATGTACTTCGGACAAATTTCTAATATAAACGAGCTACAGCCTACACGTGTAGTCTGACTTGGGTTTTTGCAGAAACTTAATTCAAATAAATGCTACTCGAAAAACGTTTCTAAATTTTTTCTGAAAACTGTGTATACAGTCAAACTCAGGGAAGACCGTTTTAAGACTCCCGTAGCATTTCAAGTCCGGCCTCGATGGGATCGAAGCGTAGTCCAAGGCTCATCCTCGAAGCACTCGCCTCGGCAGGGTACGTCGAAGACTCACCATGGTGTACCTCGAAGCAGTATGAAAATCGACGACCATCATGGAAGGGCTAAAAACCCCCGAGGGCACGCGATGAGGACTGACAGAGTCTGCAAGAATAGTACAAATCCGTACTGAGCCGTTATATAGCTGTACTAGTAGCATTTCTTCGTCATTTACTAGACATGTACTGTGTTGGGATTTACCCCTCCTATATAAAGGGGACCCTTGTCATCTTGTAAAAGGATTCAGATTATTATTGAAAACACTCAAATTGAAAACAATACAACATTCTCTGCTCTTTGCTTAAACAATTATTCTACACATTTATTGGTTATTCATTGTTCATTCATTATTCATTTTTTATTTCATTTATTGCTCATTATTAACCGCAAAATGCCATCTTTCAGGCCCTCATTGTCATTGATTCTTAATCAATTGTTCATTGCTATTAGCCCCATCTAGACCTCGAGGCCCTGCTCCAGCCAGCTCGAGGCCCAGCTTTGTGACCCTGTTGGTTTGCATTTCTTATTTTCTTTACTTACACTTAGCATCTATTGCCTAACAACTAGTGTTATAATAAATCACATATTTTTAGAACCACAAAATCAAATATAATTGTAGTTACCATTTTCAAGGTAAACAGTTTGGCGCCCACCGTGGGGCTAAGAATAATAGTGCTTGTTTTGGTGCTAGTTTTCTGAAAACACAAAGTTATTCTTCACTTTTTTTCTTGTCCAAGAATCTCTGATTTCAGGTCAAAAAATGTCTAACTCAGCAAATGCACATGAAAACAACGGTATTGAGCTTCATGGAGAGAACGGTGTAGACGCCGGTGTACCACCGCAAAACCTAGGGGTAGCACCAGCACAAATCCCTGTCGACGTAAACTCACGCAACGCTGTGCATGTCGATGTGAGCTCTCATACCAACGAGAGTGTGCGCGGGGAGGAAAGAGAAGTTAGCCTTCAAATCATTTTTGAGATGTTGCAAGCACAACAAGTGGCTATCGCTCAGCTACAAAGTCAATAAAAAACTCCAAGCACACCAGCACCGGAGACGGCTCCTCGAGACGAGTAGGCACCAGAGAGGTCGAGTAACAACGGGTCAGCAACAGACCCAGCTATTATGAAGATGCTTGAGGACCTCATTAAAAAAATTAAATCAGGAGAAAAGAAGATAGAGGATAACAATAAAAGGGTGGAGACTTATAACTCGAGGGTCGATCAGATCCCGGGCGCGCTCCCGATTCTGAAGGGCGTAGATTCAAAGAAGTTCATACAGAAACCATTACCACCGAGTGCGGCTCCGAAGCCCATCCCGAAGAAATTCAGAATGCCCGATGTCCCGAAGTATAACGGGACCACGGACCTCAACGAGAACATCACCTCTTATACTTGTGCCGTAAAGGGAATGACTTAAAGGATGACAAAATTGAGTTTGTCCTGTTGAAGAAATTTGAAGAAACATTATCGAAGGGGGATATGATATGGTATCATAACCTACCCCCAAATTCGATAGATTCATTTGCCATGTTGGCAGATTCTTTTGTGAGGGCACACACTGGTGCCATCAAGGTCACAACCAGGAAGTCTGATGTCTTCAAAATCAAATAGAGGGATAACGAGATGCTAAGGGAATTTGTATCTCGCTTTTAGATGGAGCGAATGGAATTTCCACCAGTCTCCGATGACTGGGCAGTACATGCATTCACTCAAGGCTTGAACGAACGAAGCTCGGTAGCTTCAAGGCAGTTAAAATAAAATTTGATCGAATATCCCGCCGTAACCTGGGCGGATGTGCACAACAGGTATCAGTAAAAAATCAGGGCCGAAGACGACCAATTAGGAGCCCTCGGGCTCAGTATATCCTAGCAAGATCTTAACGAAGGAACAAAGTTTTACAGAAAGGGAGTCAAGATCGAACAAGGAAAGATACAAGCCGTACATAGAAGATCGAAGAAACACACCAAGGCGTAATGTACCGCGAGGTGATCGAAAGACAGATCGAGGTCTTAGTTCTCGAGGACTCATGAGTAAAGTCAGTTTCGATAGGCACACTGGGCCGGTAGAGGCACCCCGGCTATCCGAGTACAACTTCAACGTCGATGTCTTGGATATCCTATTGGCCATAGGTAAGATCAAAGATACCAGGTGGCCGAAACCCATACTATCAGACCCTTCACAGAGGAACCCTAACTTGATGTATAAATATCATGACACTCACGGTCATAGGACCGAGGATTGCAGACAGCTTCGGGAAGAGGTAGCCTGACTGATCAGCGAAGGGCACCTCCGAGAATTCATCAACGACCGAGCTAAAAACCAATTTCAGGAAAGAGAGGCGAGCAGGGAGAACGAACTAGAAGAACCGCAGCACGTCATCCACATGATCGTTGGAGGGGTCGACGCCTCGCAGGGACCCGTTGTCAGACGGACAAAAATATCCATCACCAGGCAAAAGCAAACTCGAAGTTACATACCAGAGGATGCTCTAACGATCAGCTAAGAGGACATCGAGACCTTGTCTCAGCCTCATAATGACGCACTGGTAATTTTTTTTTCTTTTGAATAAAATTCAAATTAAACGTGTGCTCGTGGATCCAGGTAGCTCGGCCAACATAATCAGGTCGAGGGTGGTGGAGTAGCTCGGACTGCTCGACCAGATCGTACCCGCCTCTTGAGAACTCAATGGATTCAACATGGCGAGCGAGACAATAAAAGGGAAAATCATCCTCTCGGTCAGCGTAGCCGGTACCAAGTTTCATGTCATCGAAGGTGACATGAGATACAATGCCTTACTTCGAAGGCCGTGGATACACAGTATGAGGGCAGTACCCTCGACCCTTCATCAAACGATGAAATTTCCAACCAAGGATGGAGTAAAAGCAATATACGGGGAGCAGCATGCAACAAGAGAGATGTTCGCGGTGCACGACATGGCACCGACATCGACGCATCAAAGAGGCCAAAAGGCAAGTAAAAATTCAGCTAGCAACCACAACCTACATTCTCGGCTACATCCATATGCTACCCAAGGAGAACTCATCAAGTATTCGAGGCTTCTCTTCGATCAACCCAATCTGGGGGAGCATCACCCCTGGAGGTCACTTCTTGGAAGAAACCGAACTACACCTAGGAGGACCTCGATAGGAGAATGTTGTATTGGACCAAACGGTCAAATGAACCGTGTCCATGTAGAATAGTCGAGGCTCCAAAGACAAAAAACATGTACACATATGTCAAGTAATTGAGGAAGCCCCTTTGCTTATCAAAACACTTTGTGCCTCAAAGAAGTTCACTACTTTCTCACAAGACGACTCAAGGGTTAGAGACTCTCGAGCACTCGGGGACTGTCATGGATAGTTAGCTCATCGAGCCATCGAAAACTCGAATTCATAAGACCTTGATCAGGAAACATCGAGCTCGTAAGACCTCAGTGAGGCAACATCAAATCTGTAAGACCTTAACAAGGTGTGCTCAAATTTATAAGACCTTAAAAAGGCATAACCCCGATATTAAGGCCAAGGCTATATATCAAACTTGTAAGACCCCTAAAAAGGCATACCCTCGATACAGACGTCAAGGTCACCACACGTGGGAACTAGAGACTACGGTCGAACTAAAAGGCTACGGCCGTATTAATGCGGCTTGGAGACGTCCAACTACCGAAACTAAAGGCCTCCAAATACTTTGAAAGTACTTCGAAAAGAACCGGTTAATCAGGCTAGCCTTGGCATAAGAAAGGAGCTTCGATAATATCAGTTCCGAATAATAAAAAGGCTTTGAAAACAATCAACCTTCGATGAAAAGGTTTCGAAAACTCAACCTTCGAGCGAGCCTCCTGAGGTACTCAGCTAGCGTCACATGTCGACTCATAATCGAGGTTCTCGTTTGAGCAATCGAAGAGTCGGGCGAACATAAAACATGCCAAGGCATAATCAAAACTTCAAAAGTCTTTAACCAAAATGAGGGAAAAACTATAGCCATATTATAGGTCGTATAGACCCAATCTAAAAAGAGCCTAAGGGCCAACGCGTAAGAGCCTAAGGGCCAGCCTAAAGAGCCTAAGGGCCAATGCGTAAGAGCCTAAGGGACAGCCTAAAGAGCCTAAGGGCCAATGCGTAAGAGCCTAATGGCCAGCCTAAAGAGCCTAAGGGCCAATATGTTGAAAACCTAAGGGTCAATGAGCCCGAGTCAAAATTTGACTCGAGGATCGAACACCAAACAGTCAACTATTATCAATCACTCATTGAGCATGAAAACCTGAGGGGTTTATATCATAAGTCCGACACACCGAACTAGTTATCGACAAGCATCGAAATTTATTCCAAAAAGGCAAAGTGAAGACAAGAAATGACGAAAAGCAAAAAGCCCAATATATATATATATATATATATATTATATATTATATATATAATATAATATATAATAAAG